CCCCTCCCTTGTCCCTCTCTCTCTCTCTCCCCCTCCCTTGTCCCTCTCTTCTCCTCCCTTGTCCCTCTCTTCTCCTCCCTTGTCCCTCTCTTCTCCCCCCTCCCTTGTCCCTCTCTTCTCCCCGTTGTCACTCTCTTCTCTCATTCCCCTCCCTCCCCCTCCCCGTCAATTTCTTTCTACCCCCTCCCTGTCAATTTCTTTCTCCCTGTCAATTTCTTACTCCCCTGTCAATTCCCCCCTGTCAATTTATTCCCCCCCTTACCTGTCAATTTATTTCTCCCCGTCAATTTATTTCCCCCCCTCCCTGTCAATTTCTTTCTCACCCCTCTCCCCTACCTCTGTTGTAGCATGGCCGAGCTCTGTATGGTCCGCGGGTACAGGGAGCTTTTGTTTCACTCAGTGCACACTCAGTGTTAGTCCGGCTGGGTACAGGAGACAGATGCTCCCTGTACCCGCGGACCATACAGGGCTCGGCCACGCTACAGTGAGGGAGTGACAGGAGGGAGCGCTGAGCACTTCCCTCCTGTCAGCCCCTCTCCTCATGCTGCGCCGGGCAAAGCTGCAGCCGCCTGAGGCTCTCTACCGAGCGCTTGGGTGGCTGCAGCATGAGGGGGGCCGGGGCTCCTTGCGGTGCCCCTTCCCAAGGGGCAACCTAGTCTGCCTAACAGGTAGCGCCAGCCCTGGTGAGAGGTACCCCCTTCAGCTGCTAATGTGTTGTACCAGGGTGCCCGGTCTGCTGCCAGTCGCTGGGTGCTGGGCAAGTTCTCTGCTGTGTTCCTGCTGCCTATGAGGATTTCCCCGACAACAGGGGTTTGGGCGATTGCTCGTTTGCTTCTCCATGTGCCAGTAAGCTCCCCAGTGCAGCGGTGGTTGCGTGCAGCTGATGCCTCTGTGGGATGTCTTGTTTCCCTGCGGAAGTACCGGGACCGCGCGGGAGGCCTCTGAGGGTCCAGTCTTAGTGAAGGCGGGTGGCTTGTTGGGGTTCGAGGGTGCCTGTAGGTGGATGGCTGCAGTAAGGATCTGTACTGTTGGTGTTTATAGTCCGCTCTTTGTACTGCCGCTGCGGGTAAGTAACCTGTGAAGGCTCTGGTCTCAATGCCATCCCACATGGCCTTTGCAATCTTGGTGTCAGTGCCAGGAGTGCGGATCTTGGCGGCCCTGCTGTTTTGCCTTGAGTGCTTTGCGGGTTCCGAGAGTGGGGACCGGGATCACCCCTCCGGTCCAAAGGGGAGGATACAGGGCCAGTTCCCCGAGGGTCTGACTCTAAGCGCTGAACGGAAGGCGGCGGGGCAGCGGCCGTCCGCCCCGCTCACCGCCGGAGTAGGCCTCGATAGTGTCAGTGAGGAATCCTCCTCCAGGGGACTGAAGCCTGTTGGGCCAGCCTCACCCTAGATCCAGGACTCTCTGCCCGCTGAGGGCCACCGTTGCCGGACAGTTTTGTGCCAGAAATCGTAGTTTTATAGCCTGCTTAGTCTCAGGCTGCAGGAGCTGGTCTCGCTTGTGACCATCCAGCTTGGTGGTCCGACCCCGCCCCTTTCTATGGGGTATTATCATAGCTTACACTTGAAATTAGCCTTTTATGTTTATTAAATAGTTATGATTAGTGATGTCCCGAACGGTTCGCCGCACGGTTCGCCACGGACGGCGAACATAAACATAAACTTTGACCCTGTACCTCACAGTCAGCAGACACATTCCAGCCAATCAGCAGCACACCCTCCTTCCCAGACCCTCACACCTCCTGGACAGTTCACTAAGAATGCAGCTTCACAATGAATGTAAAATGGATTCTGTCCAGGAGGTGGGAGGGTCTGGGAGGGAGGGTCTGCTGCTGATTGGCTGGAATGTGTCTGCTGACTGTGAGGTACAGGGTCAAAGTTTATGTTTATGTTCACCGTCCGTGGCAAACCGTTCGGCGAACCGTTCGGCGAACCGTTCGGGACATCACTAGTTATGATAATAATAGTAATAGATATGACGTACCACAAGTTGATGAAGCCTTGATTACATGAGCTTACAATCTAAATCCTGAATACATACATTGGTAAATATATATATTTTTTAAATGGACAGGAATATCTATGTATATATCTATGTATTTATTTATTATTTATAAAGCGTCAACAAATTCCTCACTGCTGTATACACACACACATATTAATTTAGATACATATCTTGCATTAAGATATTTTTCCAAAATTAGTTTTATTCATTATTAATTATATACCTTTTGCTTGTCTAAAAAAAGATACAGCTTAAACGGTTTCAGTTTTTCTCTGTCTTACTCAGTATATTGCACTGTAATATTGCTAAATATAAAATAGGTATATTAAAAATAGTGTTGTATTTCTAGATCTGCATATAATTATGTCATCAAACAGTGAATTCAAATAGTTTTAGAATAATATATATATTATTAGAAACATATCTAGTGCTTAAAGGAACACTGGCCTATGGTATCATATCATCACTATCAAGAATGACTTTCATAATATATCATATTATGTATGCTACAAAATAGTAAAAGTAGCCGTGGTTGTCTTTCTGCGTGTCTGGGACCCCAAGGGTCACTTTTAGAAGGGCACCAAATTTGAAGAATATTCTAGCCCCTTCGAAATTACGTAGTCAAACTATACTTCATCAGACAACTGCTGTCAGTATTTTGGCCAATAAACATTGTGGTCATACCAAGTGTCTTACTTGTGGTTTTATTTGCCCTCATATCTCTACCTTCAGTCCATTTGATAGTACGGAGATCTTTTCTATACAATCTTTGATCTCTTGTAACACTTCTTTTGTGGTATACCTCCTTATTTGCCCTTGTGAATGGCATTATGTGGGCCAAACCATTAGATCTTTGAAATGTAGATTTCGGGAACACAGAACAGCTATTATACGTAATGATGGTAAATCCTCGGTGGCCCGACATTTTTCTATCTTTCATGAGAGTAATCCTGTTGGTATCAAGTTAGTGGGAATAGTACATATTCCCCCCCATCAGGATGAAGCTAAACGGAGAAGGGAGCTCACTAAGGCTGAGTCCATGTGGATTTTTAAGCTCAACTCCTAATGGTCTCAATGAGGAGTTGGAGTTGTTCTGATCGCTATGGATTCACCCTTTGTGGGTGGTATGTCCTTTTTGTCAATTTTATGAGACTTATGGTTCTCTTTATGATATGTTATTAATATAATTTGAAATAATAACATGTTTTTTTTCTATTTTCAATGTATACTCATATTATTGTATATGTTGGTTGCCTGACCTTTTATATTAAGATGTTATATATATGTTATATTATGTTATTTTTATATATAATTTTTTTATGTTATTCCCTTTTTTATATGATATTTTGTATTATTGTGAATCCAGCCCGGGTTTTTATTTTTTTTTTTCTGCCGTGTGTGGGGTATTTATACCGGGTTGCTCACATATTATCTTTAGTCTTGATAAAGTCCCGTGGGAGGGACGAAACGCATAGACAGGTTGAGTTCTGGACCTGCCGTTATTTGATTGCTGTTTTTGAGTGAAAGCAGGAAGTACCTATCTACTTTGGCGGTCTTTCCCTCGTTTGGCTCTGTTTGCTGGATCTTACCTCTGAAGCTATACCTAACGGTGTCGGGTTACATTTTTGATCTTCACCGCGGTCTTTTTCGAAGATCCCGACCGCGGTGCATCAGCTTACGACCTCCATGGACATCTAGTGTGCCGCATTTCTCCTTACTACATTTTTAGACTCTTTGCTCTCCCTTTTTTTTACCTCGGTGGGGGCCCACACCGAGGACAGGTACTGTGTCTATATATTTTTTACATCAGTGTATATTCACAATTATACTTGTGTTAGGGTTTGGGGTGGGGCAACACTCAGACACTTTGTTATTATATCATTTGCATTGAGTCTGGGTGTTGTTACCACTCAATTTCCTCACTTATTAGAGAGCTGTGTGGTTACATTTGTTTCAGGATAGCGATATTGTTTTTAATTGGTTACATAATAGGTCCAGATCACCTTTTGTATTTTGATAATTATATATTTTTTAACTGTGTCTGATGATTAAACAGTGGTTTATCTATCTATGATTATAATTATTTTTATTTTCCGATTGGGTAAGTGTCCACACTTTTACAATTTGTGAGCTCAAACTCAATATTAGTCGCTGGTGACTGTGTGGAACTACCCTTTCTTTTCTTTTCTTTATATATTACACCATTACTGTATATTTTTATATTACTCAGTATATTGCACTGTAATATTGCTAAATATAAAATAGGTATATTAAAAATAGTGTTGTATTTCTAGATCTGCATATAATTATGTCATCAAACAGTGAATTCAAATAGTTTTAGAATAATATATATATTATTAGAAACATATCTAGTGCTTAAAGGAACACTGGCCTATGGTATCATATCATCACTATCAAGAATGACTTTCATAATATATCATATTATGTATGCTACAAAATAGTAAAAGTAGCTCATAGATGAAACACAAATATAAAAATCTGTGTTCAAAACTATAGAAATTAATATTTCATATTTAATATATTTGCCATTTCCTATCCTTGCTTTTCTCATAAAGTCACTCATTCACAGCCCTTCAGGTCAGACAGATGTGGATCAATTTATTATTTATGTGTTTAATAAAATTAACCATACACATGAATATAGACGAGTAGTTAAATATAATCTGCCTATGGATGCAGCATATACAAAATGTCAAACCACTTATGGATGACTCCTGATGACTCCTGAACCTTACTCTATTTCTGAGGTGGTCTGAATAGTGCATATCTCGTTGTTGTCAGATGTTTGCAGTGGCTTTGGTGGTATTCAGGGTTTGAATTCATCCACTGTCTTAGTTCTGGAACAAATAGATAATTTTTCTTCCACTTAATGGTTATGTTGCGCATTAAAAAAAGACTAATTACAAAAGGAAATTCAATGCCAAGCTGCTATGAACCCAACAAAGTCACTGATACATGGTCTTCAAACTCTGGCCCTCCCGATGTTGCTGAACTACAACTCCCTCTGGCTAGCTATTTCATTCAAAGAATCATGGGAGTTGTAGTTCAGCAACATCGGGAGGGCCAGAGTTTAAGAGAAACCTGATATAAAAATTAGCGCTACGGGCACCCCAGTGCTTCGACAGTGTTTTATTGAGAATGATAAAGCATACAGACATTTATTTTGTAAGCAGTCAAATGTGGTAAATTAAAAAAAGGAAAATAATTAGCAAAATAACTAACTTGGACAAATTCCCCAATTAAGGTATATTGGTGAAAGCTGGCTATATTGATAATCTGCAAATCCTGCCTTTTATTTATTTAGTTCCAAAGTCATTATAGGAGTTACATAAAGCTCAGTGAACTGAAAGATAGAAAGGGAAGAAGCTAATCTTTTATAAAGACTATGGAAACACAGAGCAACAGAAAGGAATTCCCTCTTATGCATTCAACAGATGGCACCTAGAAAAAAGCTTTATGGAAGGTACAGCAGAGTTTGTAAGAATGTTTAGCTTTGGTCATACTACTTAGCTCTTCGGGAACATCAATCATAGTCAATCAGTCTTTCAATCACCCTGATATCATCACTGGGTTAATCTTAGTGCTAAGCTTAGTGCCACTGCAGTGCTATACAACACACTTAAATCGATTCTATTACCAAGCACAGCTCCAAAGTTACAATGCATTTTATAGGAAAAAATGAATTCTTCTTCACCAGTACGCAGTATGCAGGTGGTATGATAAGCTTAACGTAACACTTAACGTAAATAAAGATATTGGCAACCGTGTTACCTTGTTGTATATCACAACAGAAACCATTGCAAAAATAAATAATTATATATAAAATAATATCGTAATAAAAAAAAAAAAAACCAGCACTGCTTATGACAATTTATTGCAACACCACTGACAAAAGTGATGCCATTTCTGCTCCTGTCATAAATTAGCAGGCAGAATGCTTCATGTTTTCTTCTACATTGTTTTTAACGGGAATTAATTCATTTAAATAAAGAGAACTCTGACACTTAATAAGAAAAAACACATATCCCGCATACACTGACTCAACGTGATGATAAATTTTTGTTGTGCCAACATTCATCCAATTTAATGTTAATTTACGGCACATTTTGTCCTGATGCATATTGATTAAAGTAAAAGGCAGTCACTGACATATGGGAGTGCTTTTAGGAATTAATGGTTTAAAACACAATCTTCACAAAGACCAAATACCTTTACTAGTAAAATAGTTTATACTTGATAAATCTAACAGGTATTGAGTTGATTTCTCAAATATGGTTTAGTGTATGCATCATATGCATGCCAAGTAGCTTCTACTAAACCTTCATTGCTGGATTTTCATGTTATGTATTAATGACATGCATCCTACAAGGAAGGAACTAGCCATGGGCCAGGATGGGCAGATTGCCAATGGGCAGTTAAATGGGTCTCATGCCCTTGAGATGATTTATGCCAGACCACCTCACCATATGCACTTAAAGGAACACTATAGTCACCTAAATTACTTTAGCTAAATAAAGCAGTTTTAGGGTATAGATCATTCCCCTGCAATTTCACTGCTCAATTCACTGTCATTTAGGAGTTAAATCACTTTGTTTCTGTTTATGCAGCCCTAGCCACACCTCCCCTGGCTATGATTGACAGAGCCTGCATGGAAAAAAACAAACTGGTTTCATTTTCTAACAGATGTAATTTACCTTAACTAATTGTATCTCAATCTCTAAATTGAACTTTAATCACATACAGGAGGATCTTGCAGGGTCTAGCAAGCTATTAACATAGCAGGGGATAAGAAAATCTTAATTACACAGAACTTGCAATAAAGAAAGCCTAAATAGGGCTCTCTTTACAGGAAGTGTTTATGGAAGGCTGTGCAAGTCACATGCAGGGAGGTGTGACTAGGGTTCATAAACAAAGGAACTTAACTCCTAAATGGCAGAGGATTGAGCAGTGAGGCTGCAGGGGCATGTTCTATACACTAAAACTGCTTCATTAAAAGGACCACTCTAGGCACCCAGACCACTTCAGCTTAATGAAGTGATCTGGGTGCCAGGTCCAGCTAGGGTTAACCCATTTTTTCATAAACATAGCAGTTTCAGAGAAACTGCTATGTTTATGAATGGGTTAAGCCTTCCCCTATTTCCTCTAGTGGCTGTCTCATTGACAGCCGCTAGAGGCGCTTGCGTGCTTCTCACTGTGATTTTCACAGTGAGAGCACGCCAGCGTCCATAGGAAAGCCTTATGAATGCTTTCCTATGCGACTGGCTGAATGCGCGCGCAGCTCTTGCCGCGCGTTCAGCCGACGGGGAGGAGAAGAGGAGGATCGGAGGAGGAGAGCTCTTCGCCCAGCGCTGGAAAAAGGTATTTTTTTTCCCCTTTCCCCCTTCCAGAGCCGGGCGGGAGGGGGACCCTGAGGGTGGGGGCACCCTCAGGGCTCTATAGTGCCAGGAAAATGAGTATGTTTTCCTGGCACTATAGTGGTCCTTTAAGCTAAAGTTGTTCAGGTGACTATAGTGTCCCTTTAATATCATATAAGTAATTGGTATACATGATGTCATAGATGTCTTGCATATGCAAATTCATAAATTATATGTAACACCCATAGCTGAAACTTACTGTATGACATAATTTATATAACACACGTGATCTAACAGCTTGATATCTTGAATGCCAACTGTGCAAGTGCCATCCACTGGTAGAACTATCAGGGTTGCAACAGTTGCTGTTGCAATCGGACCCTATAGTTCAATCTGTCAAGGAGGAACCTAAGCTAGTTTGCTTTCCCCCACAAATTTGCATTCTGTTGGTGGTAGCTGGAACCCTGGCTGGATTAAACCTTTAAATAAACTAGGCCTCCATTTAAATGCTTCATATCATATAGTGGTAATTTAGTAATTTTAATTTATCCTAGTGATAGTTCCTTTCATCTGACAGAAACCTGGGAGATATACAGTATGTATGATGTTAATCCGATGATGGGAAAGAAAGACACGTGCAACTAGAGCAGATAGGGTTTTAAGTAAGGATATTGGATGATTCATAGTATTCAGCTAATTATTTTATGATTGGACAGTGTTTCTCATACTAATGCTTCCCTGAAGGAAAACAGACTAATTTGTAAGAGTACAATGCAGCAGGACTCACTGTATACCTGTCACTAACATTTTCTTCTGATAAAACTGGTGATTTAACAAATTGAAATAAATTGTCAACATTCTATTTTTAGACATCTCTTGGTAACCCTTTGACTTGACTGATGCCTTTTCATGTAAATTACTCTTTTGAAAGTCCATTGAGATCCCAGACGAGTATGTCTCCTTACACAGATAGACTTAGGCACATTTCTCCAAGTCATGTTTTTTTTGTGTTTGTCAACACACATTAAGGGTCAGGATGTGCTATTATGCTGAGCCATTTGTTGTGGAGTCTTTCTGTATGACCTCGGGATATGTACAAGCACCGTCCTGCTGTACCTGTGTCAACCTTACTCTCTTTGTAAGCTCTCCCGAGGGATGTAAAGATTTTTAATCATGTAAAATTGAAGAAAAGATTTTTTGGAGAGCAATATCTTTTGTGACAGGTTTTCCATCAAGCTCTGATATCATCTTTCTTTTTCAACAGCAGAGCCCTGTGGTAGGTGGAATATTACATTTTAATAAATTTATGGCAGATATGGAATCATATACAGAATAATATCTCAGGTTTCTTAGCGACATTGTGACTGCAAATGTATTTTCCTGAAAGGTTATCATTTCTGCCATGACTTAATCCATTGTCTGCATGAATCTGATGTTTCCTTACCCCTCAAAAAAAAAAAAAAAAAGTCAAATTCTTTAATGTGATGCAGTTAAATGAATGTTTTCCTATGTTTGTTTGCAATTGAAAAAAGAGTCCTGTCCTTATTGAGTCTAGGATATGTTTGCTTTTTTTTTTAATGTCTACATATTGATTATAGCAGTCATTTCCAATTTTGTTCTGTCTCTGAACAGCATTAGGACTGATGACTGATTATTGCACCATCAAGGTGCTTTTCCATTTATCTATATAGTATGATTGAGACTAATTGCGTCTAATTGGGTTAATCGCTACTTTACCTTGCTATCACGAGATAGGGGAAAAGACCATACCCGACCACCCTCCTGGTGATCTCCAGTAGACCTGTTCAGTGATCCATTAATTACCAACCGAAGCCTTAAGGCTCAACGATGAAAAGATAACACCAGGATTCAGCTTGAATTTCCTGACGAATCCCGACCCCATTCATTATTTTGCTTTGTTATTATTATTTTTTTAACAATTGACAAAAGAAATGCTCTTGTATTTTTATTAGAAAATTCAGTTTTGTAAACTAGCAAAAGCATTGTTACGCTGAATAGCATGAATAATTGCTTGTACAATTGTGTTTAATTGACATCTGGCACTGGCTAACAAATTATTAGTTTGCAATGAAGAATCAACTGTAATACAGAAAAAGGTGGTCTGGCTGAGCATCATGGGAAACGTAGTCCATCTTGTTCGAGTACAAAAAGTCCTGATTGTTAGATGAAATGCTCTTTGCACAGATTAACGGATATACTAAAATGAACACTATTATTTTTGTTAATAACAACACCTATACCACAGGACATAGACAATGCGAGAAACTCTTAAAGTAGTGATGATGCATGTGGGGAAATACTTTAAAATTAGTATTTCCCTATATTAGATATAAATATAGAGAGAGAACATTACTGGTCTCTTTATAATTGTCATTTGTATTTACCGTTACTATTTAACCCCTTCAAGATGAGATGTGTGAAATCTCTTATTATCGTGTTGGTCCTGAAACGTCATCTGTTTTGAAGGGGTTAATTTTTTTAAAGCTATCAGGCACAGAATCCCCTTGATGTAAACAGCTCTGGATGATTTGTTGGAGTTATATAAATAATTTATCTATCTATACATTGTTATTGCTATTTATAAATCAGCAGCATATCCTACAGTGCAGTACATTAGATGGACAAGCATACAAGTAATTGCAATCAAACAAGTTAGATACACAGGAACAAAATGGAATTCCATTAG